AAAAAAAAAAAAAAAAAAGAAGAGAAAAGAAAAAGGTAAAAAAAAGGACAAGTGAAAAGAACATTGGTGTCGAAGTATGTATTGTAACGAATCATGTGGAAAAAAAAAAAAACCAAACATAATACACAAAACGATAACGTACTTTTTACACGCGTATAAAAAAATTAAAAACTATGTAAAGTATATATATATACATATGAATATATATATATGTACGCTGAACGAACGAACACATAGACAGATTTAAAAAAAAACACGCGCGCGTTCATATACTATTATTACTACTACTATTACTACTATTACTACTAATACACTAACACGATCGTTTGACAGTTTTACCTTTTCTCTCTCGATAATATTTTTTTTTTTAAATATATATATATATATTTTTTTTTCTTAAGTCATCATCGGAGTATAAGCCGCATTCGTGAGAAAAAAAAAAGAAACAATTTTTGTATACAGAGCGGCACGATGACTTAGGCCACTCGAGATTTTACCGAGCTAAATTTTTATCCGATTGCGACCTACATATATATATATATACATACAAATCTGCATACGTACCATACGTCGTGTATGCATACGTACATATGTGTACATGCATGCATAAATATCGTACGTTGTAATAACACACCACATATAAATGAGACACATTTAACATACACACAAAACATACATATGATATTCCATTTGCCAATCAATGGGCAAATCCATGAAAATTCCATTTTATACGAGACACCAGTCCTGAATACGTATCATCATCATCATCATCATTCATAATAAATAATACACATCGATATTGCGATTTAATATCGATTAATAAACATCAAATGCGACATCGTCGTCGTAATAAATCGTAAATACGAATCGACTTGGGTTTCCTTTTAAAGGCTGACGAGAAGACAGGAATAAGTTTCGCGCATATATGATAGAATTATACATACGTAATAAAGCGATTTCTCGTTTTCGAGAGGCTTCATTTAAAAAAAAAAAAAAAAAAAAAAAAAGAAAAAAAAAATAAGCCGATGATAAATTATAAAACTAATTGTAATCTCCTCGTAAACGTATTATATTGTGTAAGTAATAGAAATAATCTCTTTAATAAGATTCGAAATTTTTGTCTAATGTACCGAAAGAAGAAGAAGAAGAAGAAGTAGAAGAAGAAAAAGAAAAAGAAAAAAAAAGAAGATGAAGATGAAGATGAAGAAGAAGAAGAAGATGAAGATGAAGAGGACGAAGATAAAAAGGAA